GCCTTGGTTTACCGTGTACTTCCTTGATATTGGACATCCATGTTATGATCAATTGACACCTGTCAAAACAAGGTATCCGCTGACCAGTATCGCGTGATTATATCGCGGGCTGAAGTTTACTGCTCCTCGAGGTCACGTGTTTTTTGAAGTTGACCGCTGACCAAGTGCTGGTTATCGATTGGATCACGGGCTTATATTTGGTTAGCTTGTTGGAAACAGGGCAGGATTGTTCAGAAGCCGGTTTACGTTAATCCAGGATTAAAAGTTAATCGAATTATAACTTTTTCTTCTATACAATGTTTTTTGCTGTTTTGTTTTGTGTATATGGTGATTATTAAAACTCAAAACAGAAGGCCAAACAATATACAGAAACCTCACCGCAAAGTTACAAAACTCAAATCAAAATTCTACTTTTTTCTGGGTCAGCTTAATCGGGCTTTGAACAACCCGGCCCAGGAGCTACGCTTTTAGGATGGCCTAAATCTATATGTTATAATTTTATTCACTTCTATTCTCCATCATATACGGGTCAATCATATCTTCATATCTTTCTCCGCAATTCAAGTATCTGGTCTTTCATAAATTCAATTGTGTAAATCGTTTCTCTCACGCATCCTTGGACAATGGCTTTGTAGCTGAAACTAGTTAAGTGTTGTCAGACCTTGCTTGTTAGGTATGGAAAGAGTATTTCTCAAAACATTTTTTCTGGGAAATTGGAATCCACTTAGGTAAACTCCTTGTGTGCCGTGAAAGTTAGTTATTGGACATTCTTTTGTAGTGCAACCGTAACTGAGTCAGACGAGTTGTCATCGAAGCTCCCTGAAACCAGTGCAGAACAGGAGAATAACGAAGACGAGGATACTGAGGCAGACATCAGAGAGTACCTTACACTTTCTCAGCTAGGAAACATCCTCAGAGAGCTATCAGTAAAGGGTAAGAATAACACACGATACCCTTAGAGTATCCTGTATTAATACCGAACAGTTCTCACCAAGTATTAGGTACCGGTAATGCTAACGAATTCCGTTTTTTTTTTTTTTAAATCCTTTAAATTGTCGAAGTCGTCGATCAAACGTGAGTTTTTATGCATGGGCCACTCACATTTCTCTCCTGTTTCACCATGAAAAATTGTCTGACACCTAGATATAAACTTCACAATATGTTTACTTAACTTTCAGGTAAAGGAACAACACCTCGCACTTTTCCAGCGTTCCTGAAAAAGGGGAGACCTAACCTCATGCTTGTTCCCAAAGGTAGCAAGTGATTACTAACGAACCAGTATCTTCATCATCATCAATCCTTATGGCCCCTAGTGGGGCATAGGGCCGCGACCAGTATCTTAACATGATTTAAATCATTTAATGAAAAGGACTGTCAGGCAGTCTTAATACCAAGTACATGTGATGTGAAATGTTAGGTACTGTACTTGTGATAACTGATAACCAAGACACTTATAGGGTTCGAACTTGATAAACACAAGGTTAGCAACAGTCTGATGTGTATGCTCATCTTCGAACCCCTTCTTTTGCAGATGATGTTTTGGTAACAGTTTTAGCCCTCTATATGCATGACAAGAAACAGCCTCTTCCAAGCCATGAAGAAGTGTTTATTTGTACTCCAGAAACCACCACAGAAGAGGTACTTGATCTCATGGAAAATGTGTTTCTAAGTTAAAGTGAAATAAAGCTTATCGGCACGTTTTGGGTTAAGAAGCCAGCGTGAGCTTCTGACTGCTTCTTTGCAGGTATTAGCCTGTCTCAGAAATATGAAGAAGCCTCAACAGTATTTACGTGTATACTCTTTTATGAACTATTCGCTAATAACATTTATCTTTCTTTGGTTTGTTGTAGATCGAGTTGTTATGGAGACGAGCCATAGGTGATCTTGAGGGTCGATTCTACTGCCTTGTTCATGCTGAGCTCTTGGACTTCTCTGTCAGCAAAAAGGCAGTGGACATGCTTAGTGTAGTGACGCAGGGGCTTGCGGGAAAGCCCGGAGAACGTGAGTACGAGTAACGGCTGAATATGAATTAAATGCTTTCCCAGGATGTAGGTTTTAGGCGTCGGTTAGACAATTGTACTATATTGTAATACATGTGTACGACATGTGATCCTATATACGTTTTCTCTCGTATTACCTTCCAGACTATGGCCTGGTGGTAATCTGTAGTAGCGAGAATGAGGACCGTACCAACATTGTGGCAGCCCTTGATCAGTATCGGGTTGCTGCTCCACCTTGCCCTTCGCCAGAAGTTCTTAAGAGCTACCTCAAAGATCAGTTCCGCTCCCCTCCCTCAAAGTATGGCTACATCAACAGTAGCAAGATAACTTGGACTACAGCTGGATCCTTAGATCCTGCAAAGTAGGTTTTCCATATATTATATCAATATGTTAATGATGTTGTAAAGATTTAGATTAGCATATATATATTTCCTTATTTTTTTAATTTTTTTTTTAGTTGAGTGCCTTTTTCTTGGGTATCAGAATGAAAGATTGTAAGAGCACTCCCTACGTTTTATTGACTTAAAATTAAATTATCATTACAATTATCATTCCAAAATAGAATAAGATAAAATTATCGTTACCATTACCTTTCCAATATAGAATAATTGTGGGTATTGAATATGACCCTCCTCCACTGGAATGGAAATCTGGAAAGCTAATTAATTGTTTTCTGTCTAGGCTCTGTGTCCGAGTTGTCTCCTCCAAACGAGCAGGTTTGGGAAAGACTCTGTTTGTTCGTCGTCTAACAAACCAGCTACCCAACCTTGTAAACAACGACATGGTTTTGAAAAACTTGCGCATGCATGACTCCAAGGTAGCCTTGCATGTCACGGTTCCACTTCACGGGAACTCCACGGACTCGTCAATGCTTGTAGATTCCCTCTTACCGCACGCAGTGAGGGCAAATGTACCACTGTCCCGTATATTCTATTTGGATGTATCACCTTCGGTAAGATATATATGGCAGTTCGGATGATAACTTGGTTATGAGCAAATCAAACCTGGGCTTATATGCGTTATAGATCGTTATGAAATAGCTGAGATACTATGCACGCTCTGATTGGTCAACAGAGTTGCTGACACCTATGTTCTATTGTACCGGTAAACCACGGTTCCCGATCTATGCAGCTCTAGGCGGGAACTGAGAACTCGAAACTCTAGCGATAACAAATGTAATAAACAGTTTTGCCTTTCACTGGCTGAGATATCAATAACACGAATATCTTTTTATTCAACATATACATGGAAATTTGCAAGGAAAAACAGGACCAGAATTTGGTCGTCATATAAAGCTTTATCTTTTTTTTCCACGGTAATACTTTTACGTCGACTCCGGTTACGCCTGAGATTAAGATTAAGGAAGTTTTAAACCCTAATTTCCGTGCTTTCCACGGTCTGTGGAGGACGAAGTCAGCTGGGCTTGGCTTGTCAATTTGGGTCGTCAGAAAAGCAGGAAAAGATTTATTTTTATCAGAAATTTTGAGTTTAAACTCAGTGCATCCATGCATAACACGATAAATGAATTTGATATAATTTCCATAAGCTTAACTTTCAAGCAATAGTTTTCATTGAGCAAAATACAGAGAGAAACACGGACTTCTCAGCCTACAGCATAAGTAAATAAATTCTGAACAAATCTCAGAAGCAGGGTTTCTGTTACTAATCTTTGTTCCATTCGCCAAACATTGGAAAATTATCGTTAAACACTGCGTTGAATCGCTTCGCCAAGCACATGAAGTTGGACTACTTGCACACTTTTCGTACAGCCTTTTACTTTCGTGATGACCGATTTCACCTTCGAATCCCTGCATTTCCCCGTCACAATACTTTTGAGTTAATTGATACGCTTTTTGCCTTTCACCGATAACTTTTCCTTTCCTTTCTTAAAACTTTCTTAGCGTGAAATGTTTTCGTCGCTTTGCTCTGCGGATTTCGTGTCAGGCGAAAAAAAGTTTGTAAATCGAAAAGCTTGTAAATCACGAGCCGTTAGGCGAGTGATTTACAAACTTTTCTCGTGTTCTCCCAACATCCCTCGTGGTTTATTACTCCAGTAAACTCATAGAAAGAGTGGTCTATTGCTTAAGTACAAATTCTTGAGACAGAAATTATTGGTTTTTTTGCCGTTTTGCAGCTTGTTATAGTAACAAAACTACGAAGAGATGGCACTAGTACCAATTTATGGATTTCATTAGTCAGTAATACTTATAACTATCACAAGCGGAACTGTATAACCTGGGCCAAGTCGTGTAAAGGATAGTGGTGGATTGGACACCATCCTTCTTAATGACTTTCTGTTATCATGAAACCACAACCGTATATGAGAATTTAGGTAAGCTAGGCAGTATTTTGTTGATACTATTCCTTGTTTTCAGATGAGGCGTGGTTTGGACAGCCTTCTGTTTAACTTACTTGTTCTTGGCTGCCTTTGTGACAAGATGGGACGAGTGTGGAGGAGGCGAAGCACTGACTTGTACGTTATTGAGATCACCACATCTGCTCAACTGCCCATGGGCTTCACAAGAGAAGAAAAAGTTGAAACTCAAGGGGTGAGTTAATAGGTCCAATAGGAAACACTTATGACCAATTTACACTTTCTTCCCACAACAAAATAGTGGAAACAGGATCTTAATTGTTTTATTGTGGTGCATTGTAAGAAATTTTTGTATTAATCACATATATGTTTATTTATAAAATTTTGAATTTTCCAGGGGCATCCTGGAAAATCTATTATGTGTAAGAGACCATTCTACGATCTGTTACCTACTATCGAGTGCCACACTCCAAGAACTGTTCAATGCCGTTTGGGGGTAAATCCAGGTATGCAGATTTGCAGGTGCACTAAGCATGGTTCGTACGATCTTGAAAAGGTTTTGAATTTAGTGGTGTGTAGCTTTGTCTAAGCTACACAGTTTTGGTCCTTGCTGGTTACACTTTAATTTCTTTTACAGATCCAAACGACTTCAATCCTTTGTTTGATGTCAAAGAATTTCGAAACGCACCGTTCCAGCGGGTTTATCAGTATCTTAAACGTTCAAGTCAAGGAAAAAGTCTTGATAACTTCACTTTTAAGCCCGAGGATATTGATGACGACCAAAGGACATGCCTCAGGCTCTTGCTAAGGTATGTAAAATGGATGCTTTGCAAAGGCTACTGCCTACCCCAAATGGTTATTTTCGGCAACTAAAACCCAGTTTAATAGTGTCCACTAATTTTGTCATTTTTAGTCGTTTGTTTTGTGTGGAACAAGGAATATATTTTTTGTTGCTACTACGTCCGAGTCCGACGCCATGTTGGAATTGTAACTGAGCCCGACGCCATATTGGAATAGTAACTACGCAGTAAGCCCGAGCCTTGCTATCGTGTTTGCGCGGTTACTATCCAAAGCGTGCACCGTGCCAGCTTTTGCACGATCAGTTTCGCTAAGTTGAAAGTGGAGTCGGCCTCGAATGTTCGAATTAGTACTATGGCCAACTTGAAGCCTGAATTTCATGAGCCTTTGACTAGTCCAGGCGTCAAACATGACGAGGAGTTGAGCATTTGCTCTTTCGATGCTCTTCGACCCCTCAAGCTCTTGGAGGGTATATGAATTCTAGCT